TGAGTTCAAGGGACACGGCTCTGGTGCAACTGTATTGGAGCTCATGGTGCACGATCGAGTACTGTTGCGGATGCTTTGTCAAGTACCCAGGGCGTCTCAAAGCATCAAATGCACTTTGAGTGAGCCCACCCTGCTGTGTGTTGGCGTGTGTTGCCGTGTGTTGCCTCTTTTGCTGCTCTCTTCTCCTCTCCGCTTGAAAGGGGGGCCCGCCGGCTCGCTTGTTTCCAAGGGGGCTCGAGGAGCGATCAGGGCTCTGCTCCGATCGGGGAACGCTCCGATCGCGCCTCGAAGCGCTCGGCCAGCTTGTCGCCAGCCAGTGCCCGGCGAGCACAGCCTCTCGGCTGAGATCCGTCTAGCCTTTTTCCCCCGGCCCCCAAGGCCACGCCGAGCGCGAGACAGCTGCAACAACAAGCAAGCGAAGTGGCTGTTGCCAGGAGGACGCCTGAAAAACGTTGCGGCTGTCGCTTCCTGCTTCCTGGCGCTTCAGGCACGTCGCACTGCCTCCGAGCCGAGTTCGCAAGCAGCCTGAGATCTCAAGAACCAACTCGCTTCACTCCACCCGCCCCTGCTCCGGTGCTCAGGTCTGTGCCGAAGAGAAGTGGCTGACAGGGTGTCTTGGACCTTGGCACGACCCGGTCAAGGGGAAGCGTCAGGGCTCTCAGCAGGGCACCTGCCTCTGCAAAAGGCCGCCCGGAGCAACCAGCAGCAACTTCGCAACCCTGGCACCGGTGAAGCTTCTACTCAGAGTCTGCTCGTGGCCAGTATGTGCTGTAGTACCGCGGCGTGTGGAAAGTTTGATCTGCTGGTCGAGCCTTTCCGGGTAACGAAGCGCAAACTCCACCGCAATCACTCCACCTCTCCAGCCAGGCGCAGCCAAAGTTCCGCCCCCCTTCCCAAAGCCCCAATATGCCGCATACGCCCCAATGCCGCAGGCTCTTCTTGCCGCCAAGGTGCCCATGCTAAATCCGAAGAGAAGCACCTCCCGGTTGAAAGCTTGTAACATCCGTACCGGCTTGCTCAACTCGCCTTTCCTTTCAGATTCAGACTTATGCCAGCGTAGATTCCCAAGAAGTGAAAGAACACCACGACCACCATGACGATAGGCCAGAGACAATCACGAGACCACCAGAAAACATTAATTAGGTTCGAAGCAGAAAAGTGGAACATACATAGGAATTCACCGTGCCACCATGGGAGCCGTGCGACACACGGTCCCTGCAAACACTCGGCCCCGGTGACAACATTTGCATCTCACCACGCCCAGAGCGGCATTTCGGGGGGGCTGCAGAGTGTGCACTCAACGTAGTGTACGACACTGTTCGGGGAAATAAGAACGAAGCAAAGCGATCACGAGGAATAAAAGAACACAGAAAAAAGAAAAGACAGTGTCGAAACAGACAGTGTCCCAACCTTGCCGACCACATCGAAAAGAACTAACGGCACGTACCATGACCGCTCAGAAAGCGCACCTTCTCTGTAGGCGGCACTTTCACCGCCTGCAGCAAGGACGACACCTCGGGCTCCGCACAAAACTCTCTCTCCTTGTATCCTCTCCCTGTGAGCGGCCCGGCCTGGTTCACGTAGGTTTCCAAGTCCAGGCGCCCTCTCGCTGCGCTCAACCCAAAGCCATACCTAACATCAGACGATCCCATTTTTCACCCTGACTCTTCGAATTTTCTTAAGGCCACAGCAAGTCGAAGCAAAGGACTCGAAAGCCACTCTCTGCCAGACGCGGCCTGGGAAGCACGACCGTCGTGGCGGCAGCCGTGCGAGAAGCCATGCTTGTCTGCTTTGTCGCCCTCTCCATCGACATCTTTCGAGATTTCACTCTAGCTGATCTGTCTGTGGATCGTAACATGGTCCTAAGCCTCAGTGACTAACCTACCAGACACATACGCACGCATATCTGCATATGCACTTAGATCTTCATGTATGGAAACCCATGCGTGCACACGTACAAGTAAACATCAACAAACTGACTTGACTCGAGAGATAGCGAGCATGTGTGCGTCGAATGAGGGTACATGCGTCGGGGCATGCCCGGCATAAGCACGTCCCCACACATTGCATACGAAAACATATACTGCCATATACAGGTATTCACCTGATACGTACTGCATAGAAACATGTAAACATAAACACGTACATACATGCAAATACATGTAAAGACATAGAGATACTTAATTCTTTACGTATGTACGTATGTAGACACGTACATACCTACCCATGTAAGTACAAACAGACATACATGAATGCATGCATACACACACGCCTACATAGGATCCTTCGCTCTTTCTTTCCTTCGCTGGCTCGTTCGTTTGTTCAGTCATGCACCGCCCATTCATGCGTCTATTAAGAGTTCGTTAGGATGCATGTCAATGTATATATATATATATACTGATACTATATACATGTACGCAGGCAGCCATGTGATGCGCATACCGATATGTATATGCCATATGCACGACACAGCAGCAACAAGCTCTTTGGCTTCTGCTTCTTGAGGACCCTCGAAGGCGCACACATCCCCTCATCAATTATCGCGAACCGCATTTCCAGTTGCAGTCGGCATGTAACAAGAAAGACCTGGTCTGGATGTGTCCATCGTTGAACCTCAAGATGTCTCAGGGATCCACGCAACGCTCTCGAAGCTGGAGATGCAGCCGTTCAAGCCGTGTATGCAAACGATGAGCGGCGCTGGGATTGGTGGCCTCTGAAATTCATTACGAACAAACCTACAGTTGCGGTTCTCGATCCTGTGCATCCAACTGATTCCCATGTTTGCTGCTCTTCTGCCTCTTCGCCCACTAATCAGCAGTCACTACTACGTTTGCCTACAAAGACGGCTTCTACGACCAATACGACGACGGCTGCGACAACAGCAAAGACAACAACCACCACAACCAGACCAGAACTAGAACCACCACAGCGACAACCACAGCCACAACTATAACCACAACGACAACCACAACAATCATAACAACCACAACCGCCACAATCACAACAACCACTACCACTAAGCTGACCACTTACCGCTGACCGTTTCTCCTACCACGACGATTACGACGACGACGGCTACTCCGCCTCCTACTCCCACTCCCACTCTCGCAGTCTCCCACTCCAACTCCGACTCCTCCTCCTACTACTACTGCCACCACTGCGGCTTCTTCTGCTGCTACCACTGCTGCTGCTGCTGCTGCTGAGATCATGTAAAATGGCATGGCAGGGGGCACCCCATCAGCAGGTAGTTGACATCGCCAAAAGCCAGGCGCACGCCTCGGTCGGGTGGATGCCATAATCTGCTAGCTAGTCGGGGCCTTGACAAAGTGCAAGCGACACTGTCCGGGAGTCGAACATTGACCGCGGACGAACGGGCCAGATGCTCGAGGAGGCTTGCGTGCGGCCGGTGTAGCTGCCGGAGTGCCGGGGTTGGAGTTTGGATCTGGCTGCGGCTGGGGCAAGTGCCCTGGCCCGAGCGTCCTTGCTGAGACTGCTGAGGCTTCAAGCAAAGATCCATGCTTAAACTCAATCTGCTAAGCCAGGTGCGGGCCAAACGCTGGCATTTAGCCAGCCGTGCATGTGGCTCTGAAAAACAGGTGAGCTCCAGAAAAGTGTATGTTCAGCAAGTTTGCTTTACTGGAAAGGCTCTGGTACTTGTGCTACGGGAAGTGGCGGCGAGGAAGCTTCCTGAGCTAAGCTGAAGGCCTGATTGACGTCACGAGCTTGACGGCTAAGACTTGCATTGTATGAGCCCAGAAGCTGGCCAGGACCTCAAGCAGTTCTCAACAAGTATTCTCCAGCCTACTTCCCCACTGCATTCAGAAGTGTCTACATCACATAGCTCACGGGTTCATTCACCCTTGGAACATTCGCCTGTAAACATCTGATGCAACGGCCCCCGACGCTGGGCATGTGTGCCCGAACGAGCGCTGCAACTACAGTCGTTAGATGGTAGCATCATGAGGTACCGTGTTCAAGTACCTGACATGATGGTGAACCTACAGCATGTCTGGATCCGGCACAGCTTCCCGTGCTGGAGTGCCGTTTTGCGAGTTCTCCCGCAAGGCGCGTCAAGCACACATGATTCGAACGTTTGGGAGGAGCCGCAACTTCGAATATCGACCCAAAACTCTGGCGATCCACGCCCGAAGGTCTCTGCGAGCGCTCAACATCGGAGCCAAACCGGAGCTGGCTTTGCCTGGAGCCTGCAACGCATCAGATCACAGGCTGGGCTGAGCGTTTTGTGGGCTGAGACGCGCCCAGAAGCTCGACAACAGATGTCTGTACGGCATCTGGGGAAGTCGCAAACGCAAGCAGTGTCAAGACAGACACCATCCGGCAAGCCAACACACAGAAGGCATCAGCAAGCGCTCTGAGCCCGAAAGCAGCTGCAGCTCATGACAAAGAACTTGACACACCCGACAACTGCCAACTCAAACAACTGCACACTGTATACTCCACTGTTGAATTCAGGGCAGGACAGCAGGACGTATGCCTTGGGGTTGGCCTGGGGGGCAGCGGTCTGTTGGCCGGATGGAGTAGCCTTCGATGTTCCAGCAAGCTTAGGGCTAGGTGAGCTATAAAGTCGACTGCCACAACACCGATGCAAAGAGCAGCGCAGGCCGCGCCTGCAAATCTCATTCGGTCATCGCAACCAGCAGACTTGCTGTGCCGTGTCACCGGTCTTGCCTTAGAACATGAAGACGCTCAGCACAAAAAGGATGCCAGCGGAGTCCAATGCTTAGCTGCCGCACCTGTCTCGATGCAGTCCTGTTCCTAGTGTCATGTCTTTTATTTTAAGTTGTCCAGTCGCTGCTTCGAGATCTGACGGCTGCACTGAAACTAAACAAGTGGAGCAGGCAAGTCCTGCCTCCAGCACAGTGGTTGTGCTGATCAAGGAAAACGCCTTCGCGCCCCCGATCTGGAAAAGGACACAACGCCCTTTAAAGACTTGATCCGCGCACGTGGCGGCATCTATCAGACCCGCTAGGACTCCAGGTCTAGGCCGACTTTAGGCGCAACGTCTCGCAGAACTGTTTCCATGCAGGGCACGGCTCAATTCCACGCTGATCACCAAACTGCTCAATAACCTGCTCGATGGGGACCATCTGGTCCTCAGAGATGATGCCCTTTGGTGCATTGTTCATGGTGATCTGCCTGTAGAACTGGACGCGGGGGAGTTGCAGAGCCTGGAGCTCATCGAAAGCCTTCTGGAGGTTGTCCCAGCCATGTTTAGCGATCATCTTGCCCAGGACAAAGGCATCCTCGGCTGCCAAAGACGCACCCATGCCTGCCCAGGGCTGGATTGCATGTGCAGCGTCACCGATGCACACGGCACCCAGTTCACCATTGCCCCAATTCTTCAAAGTGGTTGGGTCGCGGTCTAAGAAGAAGCCGGCATACCGGAAGCCCTCCCCTGGGGTTAAAGCCACGAACTTCTTTGGCAAAGTGTCGCCCTCCTCCTCAGCCGCGAGGTCATGAGCAAGCTTTTTCACGTCCGCCTTGGACTCCCAGAAAGCGCGGTAGGCCTTGGGTGAGCTTGTGGGAGAATCGTGCTTCTCGCGGTCCGTGTGGACCATGGCCCACCATGTCATCCTCTTACCCTCGCTGTCGACGATCTGGGAGATCACCATGGAAAAGGTGGCTGCCACAACGATGTTGAAGGCGCCTTCGTGGTAGATATCGGGGGTGCCGGGGATGACGCCGTAGATGATGTTGGCACCAACATGGCTCGCAGGGACATCATCGAAGCAGGCCCTTCGGACTGCAGAATGCACCCCATCCGCTCCCACGACCAAATCAATGCCCGTCACTTCTGCTCCATTGGCGAAGCGGAGCGTCTTCTTGCCCTCCGCCTCTTGCAGAACTTCTTCCAACTTGTGATCCCAGTGCAGCTGCTTCGAGGCAGCATCCTTACCTCCCATGGCCTTGAAGAACTCGTCCTGAAGAATGGACATGAACATGCCCCGGTTGATGCTGAACCGAGCGCATTCGACCACGTCGCCCTCAGGGGTCTTCCCGACCTCTGCCTTGTAGATGCGTGTGCTCTCAATGATCTCCTCGACGAAGGGGATGCGGTTTCCTGCGGAGTCGTGAACCGTTGCAGTGTTGTGTTCACAAGCGTACTCCTTCATCACCGCCTCCACATCGTGGCCCAAGGCCTTCATCACAATCTGGAACGGAGGACCAGGGGAGAGCTCGACACCCTGCGACAGATTGAAGCTCTTGCTCTGGTCGTAGACGTGGATGTCGACATCGTCACCGAACTCGTGCTTCAAAGACAGGGCTGTGACCATGCCGGCGGAGCCGGTTCCAATGATGGCAACCTTGCGCGGCATGGTGGGCTGGGACGATGTGGGCGGGACAAGCTACCTGGATCCTGGTTTCCCAATTGGAAACGCCTGACTGTGATCAAAAAGGGGCGCGGATGAGCGATATGCGCGATGCTGCAAGAGTCGCCGCCAGGAGCTGAGCTTCGCAGCTCTGCAAGGGCTGAGGATGCGGCGTGAAAGGAGCTTTGCACACGGCTTGCACTGCAAGTGGCAACGGAGCCATTGTCGGCTGAATTGGGTCTGCGGCTCTCACGGCTCACGGCGATGCTTAGAGACAGCAGATGTGCTGCAGGCAGTGGCAGCAAACACTACTGGAAAGCTTTTCTTTTCGGCGCACCGCGCGGAGCAAGGCATCAAGTGATGCGACCGCCGGCGGGATTGTAGCTTGGCATTCCCTGCGGATCTTCTCCGCGCTGGCTTTTTTGCTTTGCCTCACAGCGACAGGCGGCGACAGGGTGGGTAGAAGTATCAGGTCATATCCTCATTGGCGGCGGCCTTCAGTTCTTCCTGCTGTGATTTTTCGAGCTCCGCTTGCCTCACCGCTTCCAGCTCGTCAATGAGCCTCAGACCGAGCGCATCAATTGCATCCCCCTTTTGCCGCCCCGTTTCCGCTGAGCAGCTTCGTGGTAATCAGGTCCGCTCGACCCTTCTGCTGCTCGAAGATCTGCGCCCTGAGACGTGGAAGGGCAAAAACGCTTCCACAAAAGCGCTGCCCCACTTCCCCCGCTGGGAGCCGCCCGGCCCCTTCAGCATGGCAATCTTCTGGTCCAGAAGAGCCATCTTCTGCTCATGATTGAAGATGCCATCGCCGTAGAGCCTCATCGGCCCAAAGAGAGAGACAGAGAGAGAGGAGAGAGCGCTCCACTCTGTCTCGCAGAGACGTCTCGGGCGGTCGCTGCTGGGCACGGCTCCTCCAGTCGGCCTCTTCTGGGACCTCGGCCTCGTAGCGCTCCTCGTCCTGCACAGAAAACCAGCACCCGGTCACCACCCATCCCATTCCCTTGCAAGGGGATCAAAGGGGCAGAGGTGTGTGGTGTCCGCAGGGTTTCTTGCAGAGACCGGCCTCGCCGAGGATGTCATAGGACATCTGCAGGATCTGCGGCCGGCGACAGAGTGGACGCAAGAGGGTGCAAGGCAGCCCGGCAGCCCTCGCCTCGCGCTTCACGTTGTCGATGCCCGGAATTCGTCGGTTCTTCTGCTGCGGGTCGGCCTCTCGGCAGTCTGTAAGAAGAGGACTCTTTGCCTAGCGGATCCCTCTGCCCCGCTGCTCCCCTATTCCGACCTTGGAGCCCCCGAACTGGCGCAGCAAGTAGGGAATGGAGACGTTCCGACTCAGGAGCACGCCCCTTGGCGCTAGAGGGTGCGCGCGAAACGGCGTGAAAGAACAAGGAAGCCAACCCAAGACAGTGATCACAGGGGCGCACGAGGGGCTGCTCGTGGTGGTGCCCGAGGAAGCCTCTAGCGGACTGCAGCGTCATTTTGCCGGTCTCTCTGGCTTGGGCACCGGGCCTGTGAGTCTGGGAAAGCCGCGAAAGCCTCTTCCAAGTTCTCCGAGGACACCACCAGCCTTTTCTAAAACTCACTGTGGCCCATCTCTCCCCCCACCCCATCATATCCAGGCCTCGACAAGGTCTCCATCCGGCGAAACCAGAAGAGACGCTGGCGCTTCAGCTTGGAGCGGCGGGCCATCTCGATGGCCTACACATCAGCGAGACCGCGAAGCCAAAAGCAGGCCGCTGATACCACCCCGTCGCGGATTAAGCCCACATTTCGTCGCACGTGGGAGCCCGGGTGTCCCGCAATCGCCCGCTTCTGGGTGCGACTGTCGGCCCATCTTAGCTCAAGCCTTTTGGCTCAGCACCTGAGCTTCACACGTGATGTAAAGTGATAAGACTCAGCCTCACGGGCCCGTTTCAAGATCCCTGCCTGCGAGATCTGCGACTTGTTGAAGCGATGGAGGTTGGAGTTGACGAAGAGCAGTTGGCCGCCAGGAAGCATGAAGTTCTCAGCAAGTCCGAGAAGGGAAGAGAGAAGGGAGAGAGAAGGGGAGAAAGAGGGGAGAGAGCAGAGTCGGGGAGGGGTTTTGTTTAGACTGATTAAACGCACCGATGTTTAAACGCTTTATGTTTGAACCCAAAGAACCCTCTGACGAGTCACGTTTAAACCGTCTAAACATGTTTAAACCAATTAAACTAAACATGAAGCGAAATGTTTAAACATACGTGTTTAAACGCATTCATAGTATCCTCTCACCAGCAATGCTCAAACAGGTTTAAACGAGGTTGAACCAAAAACGAGGCTGAGTGTTTACACCTTCGGGGCTAGGGCGAGGTTAGGTGCAGGCCTACAGTAAAATTAGGCTTTGAGCCTTTGTAGCCCCTGTGAGCCCGAAGCCGTCGACTACTGGACTCCTAGCCCGCGTGTAAACACATTCGGAATGTGCGACACTCAGGGAACTGTCGGGAACTGCTTAAACATGTGTTCAAACATGCGTTTTAAAGCATGTTTAAACACGGGTTTAAGCACATTCGGTCGGGAACTGTTTAAACATGTGGTTAAACATGCGTTTGAACACATTCGGCATGTGCGACACTCAGGGAACTGTTCAAAAACATGATTAAACACAGGTTTAAACACATTCGGCATGTGCGACACTCAGGGAACTGTCGGGAACTGCTTAAACATGTGTTTAAACATTTGTTGGAACACATTCGGAATGTGCGACACTCAGGGAACTGTCGGGAACTGCTTAAACATGTGTTCAAACATGCGTTTTAAAGCATGTTTAAACACGGGTTTAAGCACATTCGGTCGGGAACTGTTTAAACATGTGGTTAAACATGCGTTTGAACACATTCGGCATGTGCGACACTCAGGGAACTGTTCAAAAACATGATTAAACACAGGTTTAAACACATTCGGCATGTGCGACACTCAGGGAACTGTCGGGAACTGTTTAAACATGTATTTAAACATTTGTTGGAACACATTCGGAATGTGCGACACTCAGGGAACTGTCGGGAACTGCTTAAACATGTGTTCAAACATGCGTTTTAAAGCATGTTTAAACACGGGGTTAAGCACATTCGGTCGGGAACTGTTTAAACATGTGGTTAAACATGCGTTTGAACACATTCGGCATGTGCGACACTCAGGGAACTGTTCAAAAACATGATTAAACACAGGTTTAAACACATTCGGCATGTGCGACACTCAGGGAACTGTCGGGAACTGTTTAAACATGTGTTTAAACATTTGTTGGAACACATTCGGAATGTGCGACACTCAGGGAACTGTCGGGAACTGCTTAAACATGTGTTCAAACATGCGTTTTAAAGCATGTTTAAACACGGGTTTAAGCACATTCGGTCGGGAACTGTTTAAACATGTGGTTAAACATGCGTTTGAACACATTCGGCATGTGCGACACTCAGGGAACTGTTCAAAAACATGATTAAACACAGGTTTAAACACATTCGGCATGTGCGACACTCAGGGAACTGTCGGGAACTGTTTAAACATGTGTTTAAACATTTGTTGGAACACATTCGGAATGTGCGACACTCAGGGAACTGTCGGGAACTGCTTAAACATGTGTTCAAACATGCGTTTTAAAGCATGTTTATACACGGGTTTAAGCACATTCGGTCGGGAACTGTTTAAACATGTGGTTAAACATGCGTTTGAACACATTCGGCATGTGCGACACTCAGGGAACTGTTCAAAAACATGATTAAACACAGGTTTAAACACATTCGGCATGTGCGACACTCAGGGAACTGTCGGGAACTGTTTAAACATGTGTTTAAACATTTGTTGGAACACATTCGGAATGTGCGACACTCAGGGAACTGTCGGGAACTGCTTAAACATGTGTTCAAACATGCGTTTTAAAGCATGTTTAACACGGGTTTAAGCACATTCGGTCGGGAACTGTTTAAACATGTGGTTAAACATGCGTTTGAACACATTCGGCATGTGCGACACTCAGGGAACTGTTCAAAAACATGATTAAACACAGGTTTAAACACATTCGGCATGTGCGACACTCAGGGAACTGTCGGGAACTGTTTAAACATGTGTTTAAACATTTGTTGGAACACATTCGGAATGTGCGACACTCAGGGAACTGTCGGGAACTGCTTAAACATGTGTTCAAACATGCGTTTTAAAGCATGTTTAAACACGGGTTTAAGCACATTCGGTCGGGAACTGTTTAAACATGTGGTTAAACATGCGTTTGAACACATTCGGCATGTGCGACACTCAGGGAACTGTTCAAAAACATGATTAAACACAGGTTTAAACACATTCGGCATGTGCGACACTCAGGGAACTGTCGGGAACTGTTTAAACATGTGTTTAAACATTTGTTGGAACACATTCGGAATGTGCGACACTCAGGGAACTGTCGGGAACTGCTTAAACATGTGTTCAAACATGCGTTTTAAAGCATGTTTATACACGGGTTTAAGCACATTCGGTCGGGAACTGTTTAAACATGTGGTTAAACATGCGTTTGAACACATTCGGCATGTGCGACACTCAGGGAACTGTTCAAAAACATGATTAAACACAGGTTTAAACACATTCGGCATGTGCGACACTCAGGGAACTGTCGGGAACTGTTTAAACATGTGTTTAAACATTTGTTGGAACACATTCGGAATGTGCGACACTCAGGGAACTGTCGGGAACTGCTTAAACATGTGTTTAAACATGCGTTTTAAAGCATGTTTATACACGGGTTTAAGCACATTCGGTCGGGAACTGTTTAAACATGTGGTTAAACATGCGTTTGAACACATTCGGAATGTGCGACACTCAGGGAACTGTTCAAAAACATGCTTAAACACAGGTTTAAACACATTCGGCATGTGCGACACTCAGGGAACTGTCGGGAACTGTTTAAACATGTGTTTAAACATTTGTTGGAACACATTCGGCATGTGCGACACTCAGGGGACTGTTTAAACACATGTTTAAGCACGGGCTTAAACACATTCGGCATGTGCGACACTCAGGGAACTGTCGGGAACTGTTCAAAAACATGCTTAAACACAGGTTTAAACACATTCGGCATGTGCGACACTCAGGCAAGTGTCGGGAACTGTTGAAACATGTGGTTAAAACATACGTTTGAACACATTCGGCATGTGCGACACTCAGGGAACTGTTCAAAAACGTGCTTAAACACAGGTTTGAACACATTCGGCATGTGCGACACTCAGGGAACTGTCGGGAACTGTTTAAACATGCGTTTTGAACACATGTTTAAACACGGGTTTAAGCACATTCGGCATGTGCGACACTCAGGGAACTGTCGGGAGCTGTTTAAACATGTGTTTAAACATGCGTTTGAACACATTCGGCATGTGCGACACTCGGGGAAGTGTTCAAACACACGTGTTTAAGCCCGGGTTTAAGCACATTCGGCATGTGCGACACTCAGGGAACTGTCGGGAACTGTTTAAACATGTGTTTAAACATTTGTTGGAACACATTCGGCATGTGCGACACTCAGGGAACTGTTTAAACACATGTTTAAGCACGGGCTTAAACACATTCGGCATGTGCGACATTCAGGGAACTGTCGGGAACTGTTTAGATAGGTGTTTAAACATGGGTTTAAACAAATTCGGCATGTGCGACACTCAGGGAGCTGTTTAAATTTGTGTGTAAACATGGGCATAAACACAGTGGGCATGTGCGACACCCAGGGAACTGTTTAAGCATGTGTTTCAAATCTGGGTTTAAACACATTCGGGATATCTGTCATGCTAAACATGCTTGAAATGCGGCATTGGGACGTGTGACACTTCGCGAGTTAGCACAAGTGTGTTTAAGCATGTTTAAACGCAGTCCTGCACAGGTGTAAACCATGGTTTAAACATCTCAATGCAAGGACAATGTTTAAGCAAATAAACAAACATCGACCCACGGGCTAAACATGTTTACACACGTTTAAGATTAAACCGTTTAAGCCAAAACGTGTTTAGAACGACCCAGGGAGAAAGCGTGCTGCAAAGAGCCAGGGCCGCTGGCCAAGATGGCCAAGACCTCGTCGGGACGAGCAGAGACTTCGTCCACCAGGCTCCCAGCCTGATCCGGGCAACAGCGCAGCTTTGGTGTCCCTGGTTTCCCTAAAACCACTTCTTCTGAGCCTTGCGGAAGTGGTCGCTCAACTGCCAAGTTTCCAAACTCTGAGACGTGCCGTGGTTTCTCAATCGGCCAGCGGGACTCCCCCACCTCGTGCACGAAGAGCGTCAGGAAGCTGGATGCCAGCAATGGATTATCCAAGGGCTCGCAGATCAGGGTGTAAACCACCTCCCGCGGAAGTGTGATCTGTGTGCAGGGAGGGCACCTGCGAGTCGTTCGTGTTCGGTGCCTTGTCCACGTGTTTCCAGACCACCAGCTTTGGGTACTCGAAGAGGCTTGAGGCCTGCAGTCTCAGTCGCAGTACCCTGCGGCGGAAAGCACACTGCCTCCCTCCTTTTTGTCTGCTCCTGCAGCCGCAGGATGCCCTCGGTGTAGTCGAAGCCGGCTTGTGCCTTGTAAGCCGCCTCAGCGCTTCGGCCGCTTAGGCTTCGGCTGAAGCCGCGGAGGACGCGCCGTGCTTGGGCAACCTGGGCTGCTGGCGGGCTTCGCGTCGGAGGAGAAGCGGAAGAGCCTCAACCAGGGCAAAGCTTGAGCATTTTTGCGAGGCAGAGCAGTGCGAGTGAAACGGAAGGACTCCCTCTCTCTGCTCTCTTGTACGCAGCCCTGAGTGCTGGGAGGCCGGGGCCAGTCCGCATCGTCCAGCGAGGAGACCTCTTTCTCTGTCTATCGCTCTTTTGCTCTCCGAATTGCATGCCTTGTGGGACAATGGTGGAGGTGTAGTGTTGTCAGTGAGAGCCTTGGACTTGACCACCGTGTGCTGGTCACCGGAATGAGTCTGAAAAAGGTGCTCCTCACCAGCACAGATGGCACAAGGCCTGGGAGACTCACTGCTTCGGTCCTCCAAGATTCGTCGCATGATCGTCTGCTGCCGGGTCTTCTTGTAGGTATTGTTCCCCTGCACAGCCCCGCACACAGAACGATGGTAAATGCTGGGCATGTCTCCTCGGGCGTGTAGAAGATGGAAAAGTGTAGCGTCTGACTGGAATCCACCTTAGGCTGAATCCTTCCAAAGCAAACAGTAACCCCACGAAGGGCTGGGCACTGAGGGCAGGGACAGAATGGATCATCAGGCCATACACCATGGCTCAGGAGGCTCATGAGCTAGGCAAGCTTTCTTGGGCAACTTTGTACCACTTGAGCTGAGTTCGGCCAGACGGGGTGCTTGAAAAAAGCCAAAGAAACCTTGAACCACTGGAACCAATTCTCCTAAACTGTCCCAGACACGGACCTCCCCCGCAAAAAATTGGCCTCGTTGACCTTGGACTCGATGCGTTTCCGGTCTCGGAGGATTGCCCGGCGCTTCATATCCTGACTCTCTGAAAGGCTCCCTCTGTCACCTCCCTTCAGATCACATTGACAACAGTAAAACTATGATGACAAGAATAATGGGATTAAGAATATAATGATACAGCAACTATCTCTCAATCATACGAACTGACTGAACGATGAGTTTGGAAGTGGGAAACCTCAGCTAGCTCCGGCCTCGCCGATGCGCTGCATGTTCGCCTCGCCCAAAGCCATGACAAGTCGAAAAGGGGCTTGCTTTTTGCATGTTCTTCGCCAGGCGCCTCCTTTCTCTCTTGTCGCTGCTTCCGCTCTTTCTGGTACAGCTCCGCCTAGGCACGGTGACATAAGATCAAAGAATCGGACGTCACGATTTCCTTGAAGCCTCCTCTCTTCCGAGTGACTACCGAGACAGCTCCTGCCATGACGACGGGAACCTTGGATCCTCCCTGAGGCCCGGCCTCCCGGGCCCTCTCCACTTCCGTGACCTGTCCGTGCCCATCTCCCCCGCGTCGAGATGTCGAAACATGTAGTAACACTGTGGTACATTGGAGTAGCACATGCTGACATGCTCTGTTCTTCATTGAAAGGACACGATCCGCAGCTGGGCAACTTCTGCACAAGGCATCAACGACACGTGGCCATGCTGCCTCGGCCAGCTTCTGGAGATACTGTGCGCGGTAGACGCGCCGAATCTCCCGCAGCTGCCTCCAAGACACAAAGCGGGGGGAGGCTCGGCGTACCTTTCGACCCTTCGAGATGCCTTTGAGAGCCTGCAGCCCCACCAGAGCTCTGTAACCAGGGCTCCAGGGTCGGTTTTGTCAGCATTACGCATTACGTCTAGTCCGGATATTTTTGAGAGGCTGTCGCCATCGGCCGCAGCTGGCACGCTTTTTCTATACACGGGCGCAGTGCAGTTGCCTGCTCCAGCACTGGAACTCCACGAAGTATGGACTCAAACCAGGCCGAAGGGGTGCGGCCAGCTGCTGCTTCACCTCAGCTTCTAAAAGGAGAAAAAGCTCCGGAGAGAGAGGCAGGACCAGTGGAGGACATAAGAGTAAGGTGGACACTGCAGCATCAGAGAGGAGGAAATCCAGGCGACGTTGGAGCGCCTCCAAGGTTTTCGAGTTGTGGCTTGATAAACGACCTAAAGAACTGTGTCCTCTGTCCTCTGGGTTCACCCGCGGCACTCCTTCCACAGCCTGGCCGGCCACAAGAGGGGGAGGGGCTGAGACTCAGGGCTCTGGCCATGCGATGCTCCGCCTGGAGCAGCTTCGGCCGTGCAGGCTTTGGCACGGGGATTCGCCGTGGCGGCGGGAGCTCCGCAAACTGCCGTGCCTGGGCAAGCAGACGCGGGCGGCTGGCGCGTCGCGGCTCAACTGCGAACACTTGCCGAGCCAAAGGGCCTTCTCCCGCAGCCGGACCCAGCGGCGCACGGGATTTTCGAACGGCCCTGAGAAAACGGCTCTCGCGCAGAAGAACAGCCTTTGCTGTCCCGGCTCCTGTCAGCACCCGGGGCTTTTCTCGGAGCAGCAGCCGCTTCGTCCAGCTCGGCGGCCTCCCCAAAGGCAAACACCCGGGCAGGGAATAAGAGAAATCCCAAAACCACGCAAAACCCTCACCGTTCGTCACCCTGTGTCTTCGTCAGAAAAGGTTGTCAGGCTCGGTTTCACAAGCACTGCGCGATGTCAGGCTTCGTAGCCTGAGAAATTTGGCAGCGTAGACGGCGCGTCGCTGCGACATCGCTGCAAGGCCATCGTTGAAGAGCGGATTGCCGAGCGGAGGGCGGGTCTGAGATTCAGTGACGGAGTACCTACAAGTTCTGAGCTCCGGAGCTCCACCCAAGGATTCTTACGTCTCCCTTTCCCTGACATGATGTGCTACACTCGAAGCTGGTGCCAAAGGCTCCGAAAAGAGAAGGTACGCGAATCAAGCTTGGAGGAAAGGGCGGGCTTCGGACCGGTGCACCCCCCCCAATAGATTGCAATACCGGACCCATGTTTCATCGCTGGCAGGCAGCCAGGTTGCAATCCCCCTTCTGACTCTAATTCGTCCAGCTGGAGATCCGACTCGTCTTCCTCTTCCTCCGAGTTCTCCTCGTCGTCCAGGTCACTGTCGACGAAGGACTCCAGCGCCGACTTCACAAAGCCGTGGGACAGCGCCTGGCGCTCACGTCCTATCCTTTTCTGCCTGCGAGCCAGGGGCCTAGCGCCTGAGCATCCGCAAGCTGGGCACAAAAGGAGGAACCCAGCGAGGGCACCAGCACTACGTGTCCTTCCTTCCAGCCCTTTTCGAAGAGCCTTGCCGGCCCATGGCAGGCCTGCGCAGCGCTGGGGCGCTGGGCGGGATCCAAGCTGAGCAGCTGGAGGATGAAGTCCGCTGCCTCGACTCGCTGCTGTCACTCTCACCTTCATTCCAAGCACTGGGTGGCAGCTCCGATGTGGCTTCTTCCTCTCCCTAGCCCAGTCGCTCCGAAAGCCAATGCAGGAAACCAGCTCATGCTTTACTTCGGTGCAAGCTTGGGGCGTCTCACTGGCCAAGATGGCATGGATCGAATGTTCAAGCGCTCTAGGGACCTGCGATTATCTGTCCTTTGCGCATGAGTCATTTCAGGAAGTAGTTTGGGTGCAACGGCGAAAAGCTCGAAACCCCTCACACTCCTCGTGCTGGACGGTGGAGGAGCTTCAGAAAGGCGGCCGTACAACACCCTGCATTGTTTTCCGCACCCCAAGCTTCAAGGCGACACCCACTCGTCCGCAAGAGTTTGTCTGCCAGGCGCTTCCATCGTTTATGCTTGTCTACGAATATGATGAAGGGTGATGCAGGGTGACGGTGGTGGGGCGATGAGCACGATGGTGGGGCAGGGGGGATGACGATGACAAAGATGGTCATGACGACTCTGCAAGTTTTGTCCATGGCAGGGGAATGATGGAGGGGTAACGGTGATGGTCATCCTCCTCCTCATCATCAACGAGCAACATGCGACATATCGAGACCAGTGCCATGACCGCTCCACGATCACGATCATGACGACGGTAGCAATGAAGGTGCAGATGAAGCCTAGGGCCTAGATGTGATCTTGTGATAGCTGTTATCGCTGTTTTCTGTTGTCGTGGTCCCCCTCCTCCTCCTCCTCCTCCTCCTCCTCCTCCTCCTCGTCTTCGCAGCCGTCCAAAGACTTGAAAACGAAAGCCCTTCGCCACTCGCACAGCTGAGCAAACAATCTCAGCGTAGAGCTGTGGGTGGCGCCTCTTCCCAAGCCTCGGTCTAACGCACCACTTCGTAAAGTGTGGCCACAGCCCTGCATCGATCATGGGGCCTGGCCTGCCCGTCGAACTTGATGTCTCGATGGACGATTTTACTGTAGGTTCCTGCAAGCAAAACGGAAGCTGAGAGGAAGGGAAGCGGAAGCTCCCGGCAAGGAGACCCGACCCGCCTCGTAAGTCCTCCGCGCCTCCTTCGCCGACGAAGGGCAAAGAGCCGCTGATCCTCTGGAGGAGCAAAGCGAAGAAAGGCACCACTCTCCGACTCTCCGCTGCGAGGCTTCACTGAGCCCGCTGCAGCGAGAAGGTCGTGACGCCCAGGGACCAAAGGTCGATTTCCGGACCGTACCTGAAGCGACACGCCCCAGCTTCTGAGCCACCCTTCTCTCCTCTTCTCAAGGCTTTTCGAGCCGGGCTACTCTTCTTGTCGCAGCATTTCAGGCGCAAGATAGAAATCTGACCTGCCAACAAAATACTCACGGCGCAATCCTCTGCAGCGACGGCTTTGACTTGTGCTTCCGGACCCTTTGAAGGAGGTGGAGCGCGGCCAGGATTGCGGCCAGGGTCGACTTTGGATCACCCGCGCGGATCGGACAACACTGCCGTCAGAGCGCTCCGCCATCTTCGCAATCCCGAAGTCGCAGACCTGATGTCAAAAGGACCCCATAAAAGGCGCATGTATTGTATACATATGTATATTCTATATATGTATATACAGATGCACAAACACAAACACACACATACACCCAGTACCTACCTCTTTCCGGTTTTGGCTGTTGTCGAGGCCTAAACTTGCACACAGTGGCTAGTAAGCCTTGGCTGCACGAAGACTGCTCTCAGTTCAGTACCGGCAATAACTGCACTGCATGTAAACAGTATTAAAGCACAGAAATTCTGTAGGACGTGATATGCGGCATCAGGGCCGATTCACTTTGAATCGGGCCGATTCAAGTTGAATCGGGCCCTGGATTGAAGATGGAAGATCCTTGGAAGAAGTTTTCCATGGGCGACCGATTCAAGTTGAATCGGGCCCGCCAGCACATACCACGAATCATCACGAGTCACAATTACTCTCAGACCACGAGAATGTTTATACGGTGTTCAAATTACTCAAAGCACTGTTTCTGAATTCCTCTTTTACCTACAACCTGGCTTTAATCGTGGAACCCCAACAAGAGCAAAAGGGCTCAAGAGTACCACTGGGGAAGTTAGGTTTCTACTTGTAGGGCTTATCGGGCACCTCCCCACCCAGTACGCCTAAACCACAACAAATCTGTGCCTATATTATTTCTAAACAACACACAGAAAGGTAGGTACATCGGTACATCGGCCCCGGATACCATGCGGATATCCATAATGTCCACCCGAAGACCCAACCCCCGGAATAGCAATGATGCTGACCCTGATATCACACCTTCATGTTCGAAAGGATGCCAACCTACCGTTAGTTTTGAGCTTGCCACTATGTTCATCTTCTTATCCTACGCCTAGCCTCGTATAAACCTTGCCTTAGTAGTAGCTTGGATAAACCTGCTGTTCTGACTCATGTTTGCCCGAAAAGTGACGCCTTGTGGCTCAACACTCAACACCATAGATCTTATGGATAAAACGCTATGCCGACTAGTGACCCACCAATCGTTCACATGATCTACCAGAATTCGAAAACTGAATCGACATCATAAACTAACCCGGTTGGCACCCCGACAGTAAAAATAACGGAGTTCCACCGGCGCCCTTATATCTGAGTAAACGATGGATCTTTTTCGCAAACCTAATATCACCCAGAAGCTAGCCCTACTGCAAGTCTTCGTAATGCACCGAATACTGCTCTCAACAGCAAACCTTGAAGGTCACGGCAGCCCCACTGCTAGTTACTGCTATGTGCTGATACAGGTAAGCTAGATACGGCCCAAGTAATAGCCCCAAGGTTAACCATCATATTCATGCTGATCTGAACCTCCTCAAACTATCCTTGCCATTAACCCTTCTATCAACGGTGATATTAGGCACGATAATATTTCTAAGATTATCCATAGCTGCCTCAATGCGAATCGCAGTGGTGCGTGTGATAACCTTGATATCCTGGTCTGTGTTAAGCCTGCAGCGCTGGCATTTTTAACCCCAAAAACTGGCGCCGGCGCCAAAGGTCACTGCACTGCCTTTGCTACACATATGCACGTAGGTAACGTGCACCAGTGTCTCATCTACGTCTGCTGTTGATCTGTCTGCAGTAAATGCAGCACTCTCTGGCATGTAAGTGACAACTATAGGCAAAACCATGACGCAGCAGACGCACTTGTGCAGGTGGCAACGGCTTACTGGCACAAACATGGTGAGATGACGAAAACTTATACCCAAAAGCACACAAAACCGGAAAATGGTAGGTACCGGAGCGGGGGTGTGGTGTGTGTGTATATATATATATATATATATATATGTGTGTGTGTGTGTGTATGTATATATACATATATATATATATACATACATACTACCCGCCCCGTTGACAGACCGCGTGTCTAAACACACCACACAGGACTATAATCTATGAAGTAAAACCTTTACACTAGATACAGAAGGTACATTTAACATGCGATGTGCACTGGGCGTATGCACCGACCGCAGCCGTGACGACGAAAGGCGAATCCAAAAGAGATCGCAGCTATCTGGCGCAGTTGTTGGGAGAGAGTTTCGACACATTGAAAAACGTTATGTTCTTGATTGCGGTCACATTGAGTGGCTCACAGCTGCAAGCCATCACGGACGTCCCACATTCAAGTGTCATGGATCCTGAGAACATTACTCTCGCGAACGCGGCAGAGGCCACCTCAGACTTGTGGATAGGTGTTCTTCTGCCACATGTAAAGGTCAGTCCTATGCCGGCAGATACTATCTCCCTTGATGCTTCCTCTTCGTGAGCTCGAATCCCGGGGCCCTCAAGCATTTCCTCGACATCATTTGCGACTTCGAGCGACCCATCAATCATGATCGGCTAGGCCCCATCCTCCGAGATCAGGCTTGGGACGAGCTTACAGCTCCATCCGGACTCAAAAAGAAGTTAGAGGTGAAGTACTTGATGCAGGTTTCTATCCGCACCCAGACAAACGGCAAGCACTGCATCGTCAAACACATTTGCAACCCTTCATGAGGTCGTTTGGGGACCCAATCCGAAACCACGAAAAAAGCTCTGCAGTTTATGTTGGAGCAGATGGGCGGCATCTAATACAGACTTTTTGTACTTGCACCGGAACAAAGTGGAGAAATCCGAGGAGGAGCCGGAGAAGGGATTTCAGATATTTCAATACATCCGGGAGCATGGTGAAAGACAGCGAAACAGCTTCTATGGATTCAGAAGAACGTCGCGGCAAACTCACCAATAAAGGGTTGGAAAGGCGGTCTTGTGCAGCGGTGCCCCGACAGCTTAGCCACCGATGCAACCATGGCAGACTTGATTACCCGGTCTGACTTGGTTACTTCTGACTTTGCAGAGGAAATTCAGGATCTCTTTTTCAAGCTTGTGCCCTACCTTCGACAGCATGCTATTTTGGTATTGGGAGAACCGGGGAAGGGCAAAAGGCCGCTGGGAAGACTTTTACAAATGCCGTCAACCTGAGTGCATCAGGCTTTCCCGCTCTCCTTCTGTTCTTTGTTCTTCATGGCATAAGGGATGTGCCAGATCCCCCGGCCACTCTGGGCCCCCTTGTATTTTGGGGCTTTCAGGGGATGTGAAAGTCGTTCAGGAGTCGGCTTGAAGAAGGGAATCTCTAAATTTCATATGTTGTACACGCCGTGCGCAAACTGTTCAGACACACGCTCGAATGTGCCGTATTCCCATGATTATGTTGACAACAAACTACACAGTGGACCTCTCTCTCTACCTACCTACCTATCACTCTTATGATAACAGATGAGAAATAGTAGCTAACAAATTAGAGAGAATAGATAATAGATGGAAACTATCTGATACCTGACACACAATAGATCATGTAGAGTACATAGTGATAATAGCTGGTAGGTGTGCGAGGAGGCAAGAGGCAACAGATAAAGGTGTAAGGCATAATACATGCAGACATAAATACATACATACATAAAACATGCTAGCATTAATACATACATATATGAGTCGGTATGTACATATATGTATATATACACAAACATACATTATGTGTCTGTGTGTGTTTTTGTGTACTGTATGAATATACTGTGCATACATACATCATATATGCTTGTATTCATTCATGTAAGGTATGTGTACGGTATGTGGGTGTAAGATTGGTGTCTGCGTACGTATGTACCTGTATGTGCGTACAAAAAAATAGATAGATGAATAGATGCAGACCAAAACATGTATGTCGCTGGCCTTGATGTCAATGTCACTTACGGGAGATACGAGGAGGATGTTCTCTGGCTTCAGATCCTTTGCAGTCGGAAAACGGTTGGTGTCGACTCTTACCTGCAGTAATCTGTGGTGGTCACTCGATGCATCACACCCTTGCCGTGCATGTACGCAAGGGCCTCCCATCAAGGAGCCGCCGCTTGAAAAAAGGGGAGGTGTCCTAGTCCTAGCCTCCAAAATCTCCTGCACGACGCAAGCAGCCTTCGCCGCCTCCCACGCCGAAGGCGAGCTTCGGCTTGCCCGGCGAGTGCAGAAAAAAACGGGGCTTTCAGGTGTTACTTTATTGTGGCAACACGCGGCTCAGCCTTGTATCGACCACGAGACACCAAGCGATCGAAGAGCTGGCCGCCTGGATCGGCACAGGGCATAGCAGCCCAACAGTCATTGCTGTCACCAATCTCCTGCGCAGAGCTCCAGCACCAGGCGCATGTTTCGAGATTCCTCGCAGCCATTTAACCAATGCTCAGCTGCAGCTCGTGCGAAGTCTTGTCACAGTAACTCGGACCGGCGCACAGACAGAAAAGTCTGCACAGACACATTTTGCACTTGTCGCCGGGATATCCGCGCCTCGTTGTGGAGGTCAACGAGGCGAATGATTCGAGGGTGCTGGCCTGGCATCAAGTGCCTCTCAATTCGCACTTCCACAGGACAACAACTGGGAAGGACCCAGCAACAGGAGCACTCGGATCTCCTCAGTGGCTCGCAGACGCGACCATTGTGGGCCACGGCATTTTCCAAGGCTTGGGCATTTGTGGCATGCTCGGCGCCCTCATCCGGCGTGAAGACCTCAAGGAAAGGAGCTTCTAACAAAAAACATCCTGAAAGTCAGGATTACACAGGGCGCCTTCAAGGCGTAGCGCTGAGAAGAGTCCTCCTTACTCCAGCAGACGTACGCCTTCGAAAACTGCCCCTCGCCGATTTTCTGAGGAAAGAGGTCCATGTCATACCTGCCAACCACACATATGCTGAATTGGATACTTGGGTCTGTGCTTTGACAGTTGAAACCTGGCATTCAGGGAAGACTCGTCATCTCCACCGAGCAGAGAGTGACCTGTTGAGCAGCCATGAGACATGAGAAAAGATAGAAAGCTGTTGCCGCCTTGACCACACTGGGGCTCCCATAGATGGGACCAAACGCTGCCCATGCGTCTCACCTCGACTCGCACATAGTTCCAGCGAGGGCCACGAGTCTCCGAGGAGCCCACTGTCGCCGAGGCATCGTGCACCCAGCGCCCGGATCCCCCAAAAGAGGCTCTACTGCCCCGACACTACGCAGCTCTGCAGAGCAGGAGGTGTGCGGGCGGGCAACTGCCGAGGCGCTGGGCGGCGATGGAGGCCACTCAAAGAGCTCCCCGTTTTTGCTCGGCGCTTCTCTTCCCACACTTGCGTCTTTGGTTTTTTGGCACCGTTACAACTGCTAGATTTATTAAGTGCAGCCTCCTTGGGCACAACCGGACTTCACGTGGGGGAACACGTAGAAGAGCATGCAGGCGTAGTGAAGCGCGGCTCCAGCAAGAACGAACACCTTGACTTCGCGAGAGATTGGGGCCCAAGGGCAAGCCGCGCTCTGATTCGACAGTCCAGGCCAAGCACATGCCAGATCTCGTGAAAGCCGAACTTTCCCTTGATTGGATTCGGACCTCAGCGGCCAGATCATGCCCTCGCTGCCAGACACCTAGGCCCGAAGCATTGCCTCGACTCTTTACCCTTGGGGCGGCTGGCATTGCATGGTGAAGATGACACCTCCGAAGGTGTAGGACAGACCCCCGAGCAGCAGCAGCAGCGCGCCTCGGCTTCAGGGGCGACCGATCCCTCTCTTCTGTCTCTCGCCGTCTCTCCCTGTCTCAGTCTCTATCTGTCGCTCCGTCGCTGCATTCGCGTTGTAGTTTATCTAGGATCTGACATCTCTATCCGCAGATATCTATCCAGTCACCCCGGCTGCCCATCTGAGCATTACATGCGTGCCTGCATACGGACAGACATTGAGTAACATATCTCTGTTGGGCTCCTCTTTACATAAAAAAAAGGTTGCCGCCTTCTTTGGGGCTCCTACAGAGGGACCCCAACACATACATACATACATATAAGCAAGCGGACAGACGGACTGATAGGCCGACAGGTAAACAGGCTGACAGACAGACACCGAAAGCGCTGTCAGACCGGAAGGCAGATCAACCCGCAAGTCCATCAACCCTTGCAGAGGTATAGCGTGTGCGAATCTATGCACACACTTTCTCAAGGGTAGCGACGTTGAAGAGTGCTCAAACTGTCCACAGGGAGTGATCTTCACACTCACAAGAGATATTCCGAATCAAAACGAATTCGATCGAATCATTTTGAGTCGACCTCGACTCCAAGATTAAGATTCTCTGTCAAACGTTAGGGTGGAGTATTGAATCTCGGATCCAGATCCGGGAGTTAAACTGATTTGTTGCTGTCCGTGAGTAACATCACTTGGCTAGAGGACAGAGGACGATCAGATGCAGTGATGGTTACGGAGGCTGCAAATTTCTTTTGGTGCCACTGCTGCTGATGCTATTGTCGCAATCTCCTTCCTGCTGTACCCTCACCTGTGGGACATCCAAAGCTCGTCCAAGTCATGCCACCAGGACTGCATTCGTGATCCGATCTTTCCAACCCTGACTGCACTCCTTGCAACAATCCGCAATGAAATTCCGAACAAATCCTCGCCATGTATGTCCTGTGATCCCACAATCCAGGTACTGGTCCTCGTTTCATGCAATCCCGGTAAATCGATCATTTAGATGTTGTAGTCTCGGCTTCTTGCGCAAGTGATTTCTCGCGCTATTCATGAAATTGACCCTGGACAATTTGTGATGCAGTCAGTGGTACCAGGTTGTAAGCAGAGTGGTTCCTGCAAGCGTCTGCGAAAACTGAAGATTTAGTCGAGCTTGCCACAAGTTGTGAGACCCACATGTGTGAATATTGGGGTTTGGGAAGGCTTTATTAAGGTGACTGACAACTCTGACAGCGGACAGGAGACCAATTGCGTTTAAAGATTGCAGGGGGGAGCTGCTCCGAAGAGCTGGCATCTAGCTGCTAGCTATGGGTGCGGCATGTGTGCATGTATAATATATATATATATATATATATATATATATATATTGTATATATGTGTATGTATGTATATATATATATACTTTGCTTCTTTGTATACATATATAAATATGTACAATATATAGTAATTAATTTTACGTAAATTGCCTGCATACAGACATGCTGTTTCTCTCTACCAGTCCTGCCTTCAAAGGTTATGCACTTGTAGGCAGGGATGGCCAGGAAGGCGCCAAACCAGCCCAGGGTGACCTCGCACCAGGCAAAAGGGCTGAGGGCTGAGGCTGAGGGAGCTAGGATTTTTTGCATGAAGAAAGAGGAGGAGGTGAGTATCTGAGCCCTGCGCGTACATGGTCATGCTCGCCCACATTGGGAACTCAAGTGGACAGAAGGACTGGAACCATACCTTGCATTCAGCCAATCAGCAAAGCCACTCCTGCGGCATGAGAGACAAAGAAGCTTTTGCTCTTAAGCGCATCGCTCCCAATAGGGCGATTCCCCAAGTGGTTCCGAAGAATACCCAGCCCACCCAGGTGTCGTGGAGGCACACGAAACAAACCTCAGAAGTGTCTCATGTCTCGAAAGCTCCGGTGCGTTTTCGTCTGGGCACCAGGCCGGGACCATCGTTCCAGGGATTAAGAAATAGATAGCCACGTAGTCCAAAGTGCGCAGGAGGTCCATCAGTGGCTTCGGCCCTTTGATCGCGTGGTGCCTCTGCCGTGGCAAGAGTCACGCCACTCTCCTCCAAGGACTGTGCTCCTAGCAATCGGAGTCCCTGGGAGTCGGGCGCAAAGCTGGCGAAAAACAAGAACATCAGCGAGGCGCCGTACAAGGAAAACCTGAGCCAGGAGCAGGCTTTTCCGAGTGCGCGCAAAAGGGTCCAGCTGCAGCCGCGTTGCGAGATGACGCCCCATGGGTTCGAGTTGGCTGCTGCACCGGTGATTAGGACAGCCGAGCCTCAGGAAGAGGCTGTTGCATTCGAGCCGTGTACCAGGATGGTATAAGCGGCTGACCAAGAACGGAGAGCATCCCTCCCATGAGGTGTGATGCAGCATTGAAGACCTCATCCGTCACGTGCTCGGCCCCGTCGTGGGACATCTCCCCGATCAAGCCTGCCGCGGGACTTCTACGCTGCCGCGGTCTCACGCCCTCCGTCTCAGGTCGAGGGCCTACGTTGGTGAAGCGCGGCGTTTCCCTGTGTGCCACCGGCGCCGGCGACGCACAGCAGGACCTGCCCTGGTCATCTTCTGACTCCTGGAGCGACACAGAGATAGGGATACTTGAAGCCTTGAAGAGATGAGACTAAGATTCGCGTCCTCATCGATTTCCCCGTTTTCGGAATCTTCGAAGCCCAAGTAGCCGTTCTCAGCGGGCTGAGGAGCCATGGCCATAGCCAGGCTTTCTCTGTACGTGCTCACGTGTTGCCTCTGCTTTCTACAAGTAGCAGCCCCAAATCCTCTGTGTGCTGGGATCTGCTGTTGGTCCGACTTGCAGGTCTTTCCATGGTCTTAGTCTTCCGATCTCACAACTGTCCTGGTGCCAAGGCGAAGACGGGCAGGACCGAGCTTGCGAAAGGACGAAAGATGCGCTCGTGAGCCTTTTCCAGTGTCGCGGTGCGTTGTACTTGCTACTATCGCGAGACCGGCATATCCTGTTCCAGCCAACAGACAGCGCCTTTGCGGTGTCCAGGGTTCGACGGGACCAACAGAGCACCGTGAGCTGTCGCATGTTACATGGTTCGTCTATCTGGGAGGGGTGCCTGGCTCAAGAGGTGCTCGGCCGAAGGGGGGCACTAACCGAGTGCGGCCATTTCTGGCCTCGAAAACTGTGCGAAGCTGGCTTGGCCAAGCTCGCGTTTTCCCAAGAAGGTGCGTGGTTTCGGGGTGAGCTGCTGCCCAGCCTAGGGGCAAATTGCAGGAGTCTATAACATCCATGCAGGTCGGGTATCGGCTTGTGCCGCACAAGCAAAACCTGAAGTCTTGATTGAGCACACTCCTTATAAAGCCCTGTGCAGGCCAACACAAGCGAGGGGCTTCTGGGCATGGGCTTAGGCTGGCGATGAAGCGGGCTTGCATGGCTGCATGTAACACAAACAACTGCACGGGTAAGTCTTCTGCATAATGGGCGAGAGAGCTCACCCCGACAGAGCCACAAGCTACTACGCGTTCCGTTCACGGGAGCTAGAGGAAGGTCTGGTCGATGGCGTGCGGGTCTCTTTCTCCCTCCGACTCCTTGTTCGCACAAGGGAGCGTCACTCGTTCTTCGAACCCCCGCCTTGTACTTAGGCCAAGAATGAAGAGGGAAGCCCCTCTTCGAAGTCTCTATAGGAGCCATGTTGCCAGGTTCTCCAGGGAGATGGAAGCCCTCAAAGGTCGGCCCAGGGCCTTGGACATGATGGCACTCTCGAGCCGGAGCCTCAGGAAAGGAGGACACTGAAACCCCAACTTAAGACTCAAGTAAAAAAAGGAACACACCATTGCGTCGGACCGCTGCTGCTGTGTCAGGAGCTCCAGCATATCGGCACTTCGCGTGTGGTGCACAAGCTGTCCTTCTCAGGGGGCATTCGGCATTCGCTTTTCTGTGATAACCCCGAAGCGCAGGCGACACTTTCACCCAATCTGTCCGGTGAGCACTTGATAGCTCGCGCTGGTCAGGAGCACGGTGACTCCCTTCTCATGCTTCACGATCTTGGCGAAGTCCAAGCACTTTCCTCATCTTTTATACCCGGTTTCTTTGGTGCCGCCCAAGACCTCTCTACAAGGGGAATCCAAGATGCGAAGGGTGGGAAGATCTTCGACATCGGTAGCAACAACTGCGAGAGTTGACAAGTCCTCAGCAGGAGACAGGAGGCGTCTGCCAAAAGCAGCTACGACAGCTCAGAAGGTGAAAGGTGCAGAAAAGCATAGTCGCCGCCGGGGCTCCACCTTGACCGTTGGTCCGGCCAGAGTTAGACACTTGTGCCTTATGAGCTTGTCGTAGATTTCCACCAGGAACTTCAAGCCACCTTGAAGTCCCAGATCGGGATTCGATCGGGCGTTGGCCAGGAAGAGCGGCAGGTAGAGGAACATGA